TTGTTTTGGCTCAGAACAAAATGTCTACTGATTTAACATCTACTCGTTCATCATCGTTTACGACCACGATTTTTTAAGTCTGTTAACTGGTAAATTAACCATATGTCCTGTCTTTCCACTTTCCTAACTCCATAAAGACTGTTACCATTGTATTAAATATATATATACCGTCTTTGCCTTTCTTTACTGAACGAGCCCCATTTAGCTCCAAAAGTAAGTAGTGTTTACTAGATTTAATGGCGCATGAAAAAAATTACCATACAACTGATGTACTATTCACAGATTAAATGTTATCAAGTTCATGTCGATCTAACATTTTGCTGTTACACCACTGTCCCAGGTTAGGCCATAGGTTGAGCATGTTTGATCCCCCTATTTCTTTATGCGCCTGTCCTAAGACAGAAGGTTGTAATGCAATGGTTGTGAATGGTTCCTATCTGCGGTAATTGGGTTCCGTTCATTGCTTTATAAATCAGGCCGTTTTTCCCTCTTATGAATTCTTTAACATTTTGTCACCCAGGGTCTTTTATAGCGTATTATGCGCCATTGGTGACGTGTAAATGTTCCTTTGTTCTTTTGCCTTTGATAGATAGTTGTCTCATTGACAATCATACCACATGTCCTTGCTTTATTTAGTTCGTATACGAGTTAAATAATATTATGTATATTAACACAGTTCTTATAAATGTTATAAAATAATACTTAAGGACAAGTATCTTGCATTTATTGTATTTATAGTATGACCAGGTATAGAATTGTTTACCCGAAAATATCTCCAATCGGCCAAAAAAGAATACTATGCTATTCGATTCTATTTTACAGGTATTATTTATATTGCATGTACCAATAGTTGGTGATTGAAGTAATGCAACTATTATGCTTGTACGGTCCAAACTTGTATGTATTATGATTAACAAACGTTACATGACCCTAACATCGTTACTTTACCCGTAAGTATGAATTATGAAATGAAAGATGTATAATGCAACCTATGTTATTATTCGTGTATTGGTGAAAAATTGCGGTAGATTAGTTAAAAATTACTTAAATTATCTACAAAGCCATCAAAGTTTGGTCTGACCAATAACGATAAGCCTTTGCGTATATGTGCGAAAAATATTTTAGGAAAACAGTCGATTTTAAGTTTGACTGAAGAAAGATTCTCACTTTAATTAAAGCGTATTTAGAATATTGAATTAAGCACTTGCCATCTGCTGTCTTGCGAGTTATCTAAAACTCTTTGCATGTTTGAAACATTTCAGATGTAATTATCCAGTTAATGATTGCTGAGCCCTGGTATTAAACGACGAAAACGTTTGTAAAATTATGTAAGAGATACCTTCATTAAATAATTGAAAAGAAAACAAACCACACATTGCTAACAATGTCAGCTCCAGAAAACTACGAAATCCATTAGGTGCAACATCTAAAACTGTAACTTGAATACGTTTTAAGCAAAGAGATTACAAGAGGATCTCTTCGTTTACAGAGAAAACAGTTTGTAAATCAAATATTACACATTCTCACTCAAATGACCGTGATAAGTTTCTTTTGATATCTTAAGCTCTTATTGCTGACATGTTGGTGAACTATATAAAGATGTCGGATTTAAATCTTTTATTCTAAGAAAACATATTTTCAGTGTGGATAATATTCGTATTCTTTGTAGGGAGATTTTCTCCTAAGCAACTACTATTTTGAAAGAAGCTAGATTGATTCTTGGGCGTTTTAGGAATTTCTGTACTAACTAATCGGTGGGTGGGCTTGTTTGATATAATTTTTGTAGTATTGGCAAATGTAAGGACTTCATGCTCATAGCTCAGTCGGGTTTATTAATCTCACAACGTTTCAGAAACTATTTTAATATTATGACATATGTACACTTTTATGTGTGTTAGTCTGTTGTTTTATATGTCTGAACTCTGTCAACTTATGTGATTTAAACTTGTTGGCATTTTTGTGATATAGATTAACATTCGTATCAGTCTTTGTCTTTAGTTCTACACCGACGCACAATAAAATCTATATATTTGAAATATCGGCCGTTTAAAGTAATTATTTCAAATAGCATTTAGTTTGTAAATTTTGATCCAAAAAAATGTAACCTTTGTAAATCCCACCCAAAAAATATAAACGCTAGCAATTGTGAAATCCCACTCTAGACTTCCTAAATTTTATGCACTATAAATTTAAATGATAAAATAATTCCTATCTTTTCTCCTTTGTTTTTTGTTTTAAACTTTTATGATTCTCAGTCCATGATGGATATGTAAATGTTATTTCCATATTTAGATGCACTCCCATGTATTGTGAACCTCGTGAATCGTAGTTGTAAATCAAATGACAAAAGTGCATCCCTTTTATAGTACCTAGGTCGGTTTCTTTAATCAGAGAACCAGGGTTCATTAATGAATTTCATAAATCCTTATTGATAATAACTTTAAATCCTTTTTTCTAAGTATACTAGCAAAAGGGTTCGGATTTAATATTTCCTAAATTTATTTCACACATTCTTTCAATTTTTCCTAATATTCACTGTTAGTATCACATTTTCATGTATTTTACTTGAGGTTAAGACAATATTATTTCTAAACATATGGCCAAATTATAAATCAATCAATCAATCTTAAATCTTCAATCCTGATAGATTCTTGAAAATATTAAGTACATGAATTTCATTTTTTTCCAAAAATGTATAAGAATTACATTCTTAACCAACACTCACATTGTAATGGAAGTTATTCTGAATACTTTTATAATGAGGGGGAATATGGTTGATTTGCTTTTGTTTGGGTTCTGTTTTTTTTTGTTTTTTGTTTTTTTATTTGTTCTGTTTTAGTTTTGTTTTCGTTATGAAGACCTAAATTATGTCAAATGTTTGTTAGCAAATGTATTTGTTTAAATTTTAGTCCAATTGCCGAGTCAAGCCTTTTCTAATTGATTTTCACAGTTTATTCTAAAGTGTGTTGTTACACTACTATATCATGTGTAGGGGGTAGAACGCTCACAAACATGTGTTAACCCTCCTCATTCTTTATGTGCCTTTCCCAAGCCATGATCCTGTATGTAACTGGATTTTGTTGGTTGTTGTCATCCATAATTGTTTCGTCTATTGCTTTAGCATGAATCATGCAGGTGATTTTATCTTTTGAACTGTTTCACATTTTGTAATCCCGAGACTTCTTATAGCTTACTATAAGGTATGAGCTTTGATAATTATAGAAGACTGACATGTCAAACAAATGTAAGCTTTGTGTTTTGGGTCTTTCTGTTTGGCTAAATAACCCTTCTGATAAGGTCTGGTAAGATTGTTGTAAGTGATGTTAGGTAAACGTTAATGGGAGAGCAGGTTTTAATGAATTTTTCATGAAGTTTCTTCATAAATTCAAATGAAAAAGAACTTTATATTGTTAGACCAACTAATTTCTGCCAAAAGCTAAGGTGGAAACATTAGAATCTTTCGTTACATATAGTATTCGGTCAGATAATCTGCGAATTCGACACATATCTTACATTCTGGCGCAACGGACATGAGTTCTTCTACAAAACAATCAGATACATCTGTATCATCTAGAAATGCTATGTCGAATGAAGTGTAAATGCAAAATACTTTTACTGTTCATAATTTTAGTATGGTTAGTATTATTCAAGCAGGTAAGTTTTCGCTATAATGGACTATATGTCTGCGCTCAAATGTCCCCTAGTAGTTCAAAATATTTCGCTAAAATATACTGCGCCCATATCACACTGAAAACCGCTGCTGTTGAAGGGTGCTAGAACTATCCCTAGTTTGATAGTTTAACACTTTTAATTATTAATTTGGTGGATCCTAAAACATTTACGTTCTATTGATGACATAACAATAGAATGTACCGTCATATTTATTTTTTTCGAGAACATTATATTTACAGATAACATGCTGATTATGATTGTAAATGTTTGAATGTGGTATCTGAAACCGTTTAACGTACATGTAGCTTTCGTTTGAATGCAAGGTGAAGCCCATTATGCAAATTAAAGTCAGCTAAGCTAAGTAAGATCATATATAACAGATATGTTCAGGAAGAAGTTCATTATTTTATATCAATCAAACGGAAATTTAATCATCAGCATCATTTCATTTTTTTAAGAAAAATCTATAGATTGGTAATTGGAGGTTTGTTAATTTTCAGACAAATTTAAGAACTTTTTCGCCGTTTTGTCTGCTTTCTATACAAATGTGCATCTGTTTGAAAGAATTAGTTCAATAATATTTCGATTTTCAGTTATAGTGCAACGAAGTAAAGTTGTATTCAAAATTTTACCAAACTCTGTGACATAGCCCATTTACTGTACCTCCACATTAAGACATCTTTCTGTCCTGATTAGTGTGGAAGAAAAAGTAAGATAACAAAAATACCGAACTCCAAGGCAAATTTAAAACGGAAAGACCTTTATCAAATGGCAAAAATAAAAGCTCAAACACATCAAACGAATAGAAAACAACTATCATATTCCTGACTTTGTACAGGCATTTCCTTATGTAGAAGACCAGATATCCGAGATTAATGATGTTTTGGTTTATACAAATGTTCCTTATCGAAACAAAATATCAACATCTGATGAATTTTCTAAAAGACAATGTTTTATAATAAAGTATATAAAAAATTATGGAAGGTTAAATTGTTCCATGTGATACATTAATTTCTAATTTTTGGCTTGAAAGGGCTTTGTATATAGAATACACGTAAACAAAAAATATTAAACTACATGATATATCGAAAAAAAAAACACAATTTCAAAATACCTGAGACTTACATGAAATGTAGGTTTATAATATTAATAACATATATAGGGGTGCTGGATAAATGTGTATAATACAAAGCCTGGGCAAAAAGCAGAAGGGTTACAACAGTTGAAGCTGGACGCAAGTCACATACTTAATATGAATAAAAGGAAACACTTACCAACTTATAATAAGTTCAAAATGAATTTTAAACTATTGTCATAAAAATACATACCTGTACATAGAACATAAATATCCAACAAAGAATACTGTTGTTTCATATCTAAATCAGGTTTTTAATATCTTTAGACTTAAATCCAATTCATGCTAGTAAAATTTTATAATATCACGGCCTTTGGTTTCGATTCACAAAATCATGAGTGATATGTACTTTTTAAATCTGATATGCGTCGAATGCACGTGTTTCTTCATTCTGAAAGTAAAAAATGTGATTTTCATCATTAATCTCTGTCAATTATTTTGTAATTTATATACCCAGGTAATATAGTAACATAATTACATCGCGATGACCGTGAGGGCATTCCGATGTATTGTTGCCACAGAGATTTCTACTTACGTAACTTTCGTTTTTGATTGGTAACCGATCTATAAATACGCGGACATTATCGAGTGCAAAAGAACATTCCTTAAAGCTTGTTATAGATTCATTTCTTTAATGAATACTCATAAAAATATTGTTTTTAGAACATAAATTAATAATATGAAAATGTTTTGTCGTTAGAAATATATATATATAAGTAAAAAATCATTAACATCTATGCACACGTACAGAAAAATTGTGTTAACGCATGCGGAAGAATATCTCAAGAACGTTTTGCGGGAAAATATGAATGCCTGCTCAAATCCAATCTATTAGAAAAATCGAATTATTACAGAAGAGTGTCCACCATGCATTTGCACTGCACTATTATTAGAATAGTATAATAGAATGATATACAAATGGATGAAAATTATATATACATGTAACTGTTATATACAAATATTAATATAATATTAATACAATATTATAGTTATTACGGTGAGGTTGAATTCCCTGTCATTTAGTCATCACCGACGCACGAACTTGTCTCAGAAAAAATATATCTCTGTACATTAACCTCACTTTCAGGTATAGAGATGTGATTTACTTTCTGAAACAAGTGCTTGTGGCCATCCACAAGAACTTGCGGTCATCCGATGTTCAGTACTTCAGTACTTTGATTTTATGTACTTATAACAAGTATTACACGATTAATTTTCTGTACAATATTGCAGAAACTATTTAATAGACGTATTTTCTTATAATTATTTAGGCTGTAGTATAAGTAATAGCAGTAGAAGTAGAAGTTTGTTTAATTGATATATCATTATTCAATAGAATTTGAACATGCATGAAATATTTGCCACTGGACAACCAACAATCAATCAATCAATAGAATCCACTTTGACTAAGAGAGAAAAGGAGTATTCGCCTTTCCCTCTTGAAGTCTAGAAGTCGTCACATTTTCCTTTGCTAAATTCTTTAAATGAAGCCATAAGCCATATCTTTTAAGATGTCCATGTATATATTAACAATACATGGACTATATGTAGGACGCTAAAGTGCGATGATACTCTAAAGTGCGATGGTCACGCTAAAGTGCGATGGTATACGCTAAAGTGCGATGGTGTCAAGCGCTAAAGTGTGATGGGTTTTTTAAGTGCAATTATATGACACGCAAAAGTGCGACAATACAATACACTAAAGTGCGATAGTATAGCACGATAAAGTGCGATAGTATAGCACGCTAAAGTGCGATGGTGTAACGGGAATGGGGCCAAAGCAATGTTTTGCGTTTGTTGCTGTGTTGCTATTAGTTTATTATTATGTTTATTAATCAAGACGTTGTCTTTCTCTTTTGATTTGTTTTACACTGGTCATTGTGTGGCCCTGTATAGCTTGCTATGCGGCGTGGGCCAAGGCTCCACGTTAAAGGCCGTACAGTTATTAGTTGGATATATCAACGACATTTGGTCTTGGGTGGATATTTGTCTCATTTTTTTTTTACTTAAAGTACAATAGTTGTCAAAAAAGTGTAATGGTTACATTGCATTTAGCTAGTATATACTTTAAGAACCTGTCTTGCGCCAGGAAACTAATTCAGTGGTAGTCGTTTGTTGCTGTATTTCATATTTGTTTTCCGTTTATTGTTTCGTATATAAATCATGTTTTACGCTGGTCGTTTTGTGGCCCTTTGGTCTTTATAGAATACTATGCGGTGTTAGCCAATACTAAAGGCATGCGGTAACATATAGTTGCTTACAATAATGACATTTGGTCTAGGATAGAGAGTTGTCTCATTAGCAATTATATTATGATACTACACCTCTGGTCGTTAGGTTACAGTTGACATATATCCATATCTTTAACAGAAATGACGAACCATATTGTAAAAAAAAATGTTTATAGAATGATTCCATCAGAAAGTAAAAAAGTAGGGATTACAAACATAGAAGGAGCTGCTAAATTAAATTTGGACGAATTAAATTCCTCAACGTCCAAGTGAGCCATCTCCAGAATCTTTTTTTCCTCTTTAGTTAAAATACATTTTGCAACCTTAACATACATAGTAGAAATACTAGAATTATTTCAGTATAAATGATCAAATGGTCATGCGTATGATCGTCCTGTATATGCATGTGATATTTGCCACTGTACGTTCAACAAGCAAATATTAGTTTACATTACTTTATTAATTTATTTTACCGAACTACTGGAAAATGTGATTTTCAAAGTGTCTCATACCCAGCGTCACTTTTACGGTAACAAGGCTGTTCATTTTTGTTGATTTCCATTGTTATCGGGAAAACACATTTTAGCGTATTGAGGCATCGGACTTTATCGTGTTCCATTTAATAGCACAGACCATCGCGCTTTAGTGTATCAAACCATAGCACTTTTCGTAGACCATCGCACTTTAGAGTCCTACATATATATTGAAGATACCCTACATCTCTTTTTATTCACGAATAACTCATTAAGAGCGTATTCACTATTTGTCTGATTTAAAATTCATTTTAAGGGCACTCTCTGGTGTGATAAGTCATTTATCCCATCAAAAATATATTTTGCAACCATTAAATTGGATAGCCAGTAAATACACTCTTCATATTTTACTCAAAATTGTTTAGTAAATTCTTCTTCTTGTAATAAGTACACCAGATGAACAGAGTTCCAAAGTTTTCAAAGAAAAAAGAAAGTGCAAAAGTCTGTTAGTATTTAAAAGCAGTTATATCAAATGCATTCAAAATTTTCACAACATGTTAAACATGTGCTGCGGTCTGGTAACATCTAATGTGGTTTGTTGTTTAGTTAATATTATGCAAATTATACGACTTTCATTCATAAACTTACTTGATTTTTTTTAAAATTGTGTGTTCATAATGTTATACAACAATTATGTGCATGGTCTGCGATTCAGAAACTATTTCGCATATATATATTAAAATCGAAACATGACAAATCAAGCAAACTATAAGAAATCGAAATTGCAGAAAAACTGTCGCTAGTGAAAGAATTATTGCCTTGTATTTGGCTTGGTACAAGTATTGCCACAGCCAAAAAGTAAAAACTAAAGGAATTGTGAGCAACGATCACAACTTGATACCCCGCCCCAACATACAGCTAAAGGAAAGCTATCATTTGCCTAGGACCCACCCACCCCAAACAAATCAGATAAAAGCAAAACAGAAGGTGCACAATGACATTAAATGTTAAAAGATTCTGAGTTCCAATAATTCTACTGAGGGATGTAGAGCGAAGCCCCAAAAATAGTTTGGACCAGAAACCGAAATAGGAGGTGCACAATATCATAATATGGTAAAGATTCTGAGAAAGTTTCTTGAAATTATGACAAGAAATTAACGCGGATAAGCGGATATGACAAAGTCAATGGTATGCCAAATGTTAACCCCAAATATAATTCGAATAAAGATGAAAAGGTACATAAAATAAGTTAAATTTGTGAAATTTCCACAAAATTATGTCTAGCGATTCAGGAGCAGTTGCAGATACAAATGCGGAAACGAAGCTATACATTGCCCACTTTTAAAAGCACGGTATAAAAACCCTGTTAGATTCGTGCAATGATAACTATAGTCCTCTGCAGAGAACATTGTTGAGGTCAAATAAGTGTTATATATAATAGATCATTCGAAACTACTTCTGAAATTTTTTCGCAGTCTTAGATCTTTAGATACCAGAATAATTTGTAGTCTGTAATTTTACCGATTGTGTCCTATTCCCGATTGTGATATTTTGACGGAGGATGGGTTCGAATGGTGGGTAATGCATACATAGCAGGAGACGTGTACCCTTTCGCCGCATCCGGTCTCCTTTCTTTTTTATTTCATTCGATTCCCTCAGTTTTAATTAGTTTGTTACCTTGATTTGTCTTCTAAATCGAATTATGAGATTGGAACATCGGTTAACTATTGTTGCCTTTATATACCATATTCAAAGTTAGATGCCATTTCAGTATTTGACGCAAGTTACTCATAAGTATGACACGCGTTTTATATGTTCACTAAGAGGCGGAACAGGGAGAGGAGCCAATTTTCCCCCACAATTTTCATGCAAGAGGTTTCCAAAAAATAAAGATACTTTCTTTGCCTTAAACTCTGGCAAAATGTCCTATTTGCAAATTACTATCAGGAAAACATCTTTCCTTTACAAGATGCAGATTGGGTGTGTGTTCAAAGGCACTTTCTTTATAGCAAACTACTGTGATAACAATAAAAACACACATTGAAAGGGGAAACCCTCTTAGCCATGTAATGAACAATTTGTACAAAATAAAAACATCAACTAGTGATAACTCCCCTAATTACAGATAATCTGTGTCCAGAAATAATACATAAAAAACATAAACCACTCATCTGAACTGTAAAACTGATAACCCCCTTTTTGGAAGATTTATTCATTTCCACGAGAACAAATGCATATGAGCTGTAAAACGAATTAAAATGGACTCAAAATTGATGCAAGAGAAACTTCTATCATCACCCAATAGTCGTCAGAGGCAAGCAATATTGTCTTCGCTGTTATTTATTTAATCAACTAAATCTGAAAGTTCAAGAAACAAGAAAAGCTCGGCGAGGATCTTTGTCTCTCTGTTTCGTAAGCACATACAAATAAACTTTACATTTTTTCGACGCTATACGTTTGTCGTATATATGAAAATAAGAAGATGCGATATGATTGCCAATGAGATAAGTTTATTATAAATCTCCAGAGACCAAATGATGTGAGCAAAACTTTTACCTGTAATGTTAATTGTTGGGTTTTTTTCCAACATGCATGTAGTTATATCATGCTGAATGTATTTCGCCATTTGTATCATATTTTTTTTATGATATTTCACGTAGTTTCGGCATTATCACAATGGAACAGTT